GCTCTGAGCATCCTGGATCTGTGGTTTGGTGTGTCATTAATTGTTTGACAATTCTTAGCCATGATTGCCTCAAATATCTCCTGGTGTCCTCATTTTGCACATGTTGCAGCGTGCGTAGCTGTCCCACAATTCTTGGGTATTCTGGATGCCCTGGGGCTTTCGGTTTTTGTTTTGCTTTCTGCTGTTCGTTTTGGGAAATGTCTTTTGAAAAGCTCATTCTTTCCTTGCCATCAAAGGAATTCTTTATTTTCTGTTACAGTCTTTTAAATTTATTATTACAGCATTTCTATTTGGTCCCTTCTTTTTTCCCCAGCACTTTTTATTATCTCAGGTGGGAGTTTATATCAGGGGAGCCCTGGGGGCAAAGTGGTTACACAGTAGGCTTCAGTCTGCAAGATCAGCAGTTCTGCGCCTGTAGAGGTAGCATCTCGGAAACTCACAGGGCAGTTCTAGCTTGTCCAATAAGGCCATTATGCGTTGGCATTGACCTGATGGCAGTGAGTTTAGTTTTGGGTCTTACATAACACATCCTTGTTTTTCATTCAACATCTTGAGTAACGTCTCAAAGTCCCCAGTGGCTTTCTCCAGACCCACCACCCTTTCCCCTGTCTCTCTCGTAGTGTGTTCTCTTTATCTTCACCAATGTTAACACCTGTCTACCCTCTAGCCCATCGCTTTCCTTTTCCTCCTGACTTTTCCTGCCCCTGGTAACTATCAAAGTCTGTTGCTTTGGGCATTAAAGTGTTTTCCTGTTTTTTTTTTAATAACAGTGGTATGCAATATTTGTCCTTTTATTTTTTACTAACTTCATTCAGCCTAATGTCCTCTACGTCCATCTTTCTCGCACAGCACATGATGTGTTTCACAGTTTCATCCTCGTCCTTTAATGATGCGTAGTATTCCACTGTGTGTATGGATCAGTTTATTTTTCCAGTATGTCACCAGTGTGCGCGTATAGATTGTCTCCATCTTTTTGCTGTTGTGAACCATGCTGTGATGAACGGGTGCGTATATATCGGTTCGTGCTATGTGCTTCATTTCTGTAGGGCATCTTATCTGGTTGCTTGCTGGAGGGTTCTACAACTCTGCTTACATTACCCATTTGTTCTTTCGTGGATTCTACCCCCAACACTGGCTTCCTCTGCAGGTTAGTCCTGCCGCTCTTGTCAGTTGACCCTGACTCCTGGCAACCTTACACATAGTGAAATGTTGCCCAGTCCTGTGTCCTCTTTACAATCACTGCTATGTTTGAGTCCACTGCGGTGGCCACTGTATCACCCATCTCATTGAAGGTTTTCTCCTTGGCCCTCTATCAAACAGTGTTCTTTTTCTAGCTATTGATCTTCCCTAATGACATGTCTAAAACAAGTGAATTCAAGTCTTCTAAGGGTATTCCGATTGTCTTCTGAGACTGATTTGATCATTCTTTGTGAAGGCCAGGAATATTCAATATTCATTTTCAGTACCACAGATAATAATTTTTCTATGAACAATATTAATTGTAGTATGTTAAATTCTCAATGTAATAATTCCACAATCTGTGCCATAACCGCGGTCGATACTTGCGCAGTATCTTTAGATTGTGTTTTTTGTCTTTCCCTTTTAGTGTGCTTTGTAATTTGTTTGTTGAGGGCCACATCATGTATTGGGAGTAAAAACTGAACTAAATAGTCGCTTAGTATAAAGTTTGATATTTACCTGGCTTGAAATTAAACTTTGTCTACTGTTTGTTGTAGCAAACAATTTGCCAGAGACAAAGATTTCCCCTGTTATCCTCGTCCTTCCTTCCTGCCTCCATTGTCTTTGGGTTTCCCTAGGAACCCCTACAGATCTTTTGTCTGGAATCCACTGCCTTACTGGACCCTGGTGAAGAGGTAAGGTGTGAGGGGAAGGAGAGCATTCTATCATCCTGTGGTCAGTGGCTTATGCCCTGAGCTTGGACCTTCACAACTGCTCTCTGCTCCCTTCCCCCAAGATAGGAAGGCTAGGGAGGGCAGACATTAGGGCTTTTCCTTCTTCTGCGTGCTATGGCTTAAAACAAAACCCCAAACTGCCATCAAAGCAACTCAAAGCAACCCTGTGGGGCAGAGTAGTACGGACAGGCCCCGAAGCAGTTTCCAAAGCTGTACATCTTGACAGGGAGAGAAACCTCATCTGTCTCCCTTCTAGTGGCTGGTAGAGTCAACTCTTGGGCTTCTGATCCTTGGTATCTCCTATGTCTCTCCAGGTTTTAGAGCAGCACTTGTACAGTGACCTTAGTTCTCTAATGGGTCTCAGGCGAGTTGCTCATTTTAATGTTCCGTGCAGCTTTTTTCTCGTGTGGGTAGGAGTGATGGCTTCCAAGCTCTCTTTACATGCTGGTGTGTCGTCCATAACTCCTTCGTTTTCACTTTACATTTTGCTCCAGGACTTTCTTACTGCATCCTAGACATTTTGTAATAGTTTCCATTGCCAAAAACTTTTGAACTAGTTAAAACTCTTGAGTGTAGATGGGATACTAGGACTAGCTCCCCTGTCAAGTGTGCCCCCCCCCCACCCCGCCCCTGCCATGTAACTGAGGGTTAGTTGGTGTGACAGTATCCACAGTTCTCTTGTGGGTGGAGTTGAGACCCTATCCAGTAGGAGTCAATGACTTGCCAGATAAAGTCCATTTAATTCTACTCACAGGATGTGGATCAATGACTCCAGAGGACATTTTGGCCATGAGTGTTTAACCTTGCACACCTCTTTCCCTCTCTCCCCTAAGAAAAAGTGTATATAATATATGTCTTTAATGTACTTGTCCTCAAAACAGTAGCCTTTACTAGAGTGCACTATTGCATTTTGCTTCCTTCTGTACCACCTGAGTGGAAAGGAGCAAGGTCTCCTCCCACTGAAAGGGGTTCCTTCCCCAAGGTCTCTGCTCAAGGTACAGCAGCCTGTAAACCAAGTCTCACCAATTACCCTTGCAGATACTTAGTACTATGGTCGACTCGGCTATCAACCATAAAGACAATAACAGTGGCATTTTAGAAGCCCACGTGTTTGTTTTTGTGGACAATTGGGAATTACATGAGGGCAAGGATAAAAGACAGATTACTTAGGCTGTGAGCCTGTGGCTGGTGTCCTAGGGATGATGCTTTCCAGCATGCTTGCACTTTTTTCTGAGGGCTTCGATGTGTCTCCACTCAAGTTAACTCACAACACCCACATGTATTCCTTGGGCAGACACGAATCTGGCTAACCTGGGTACCAGCCTCAGCCATATCCAGGCTAGCATCTCCTCAATGGCCTGGCTGCCCAGGGACCAGCTTCTGGTCCTATGAAACACCTGGGCAGTGGAGGAATCAGACAGGTCCTTTGCTCTCTAGACCCCTCCTACCACCTGCCTTGTCACACATAACGATTATTAATGGAATCTCTGAGCCTTATATAACACACACACACCCAGTCAGCATATCCCTAACCCGAACTCCCCAGAACTCATGAGCACAGTAGCTGCAGTCCAGGAAGGGCCCACTAAGTCTGAAATGCAGCCAGATTCTCCTCAGTCATGACGCAAGAGCCACAGGTCAAGGAATACCAGCTCAATGCTCATTCAGCATCTTTCCCTAAGAAGCATGGAAGAGCCAAACAAGTAAGATACATCTGTAATGGCAGTGCATCTAGGAGCTGGGCCACGCAAGACAGCCTGCGTTTGTCAGCTTTTTCTATAGCAACACGAGGTCTCAAAATCCCATAGGCTCCTAGCAGCATAGATTTTATCTCCCAAGCGTGGTTGTGGCTGTACTCTGGTAGCAGCAGGGTTCCACATGTCTCCTGGCATCAGACCCTTGGTCTTGTGGAAGCCAGGAAGAGATCATGCCTGCCTGGCAAGTACATTCAAAGTCCTGTGCCCATGTATATGTGCCCACAGCCACGGTTCACTAAATAAAACAGGTCCCATGTCTGGTTGGCCAAGCATGAGGCCTACCCCCTCCACAGGGGAGTGGGTTGGGGAGAGCCTGGAGCTACTGACCTTGGGTAACAACCATTGTCACCCCTACATATACATACACACACACATAAGGAGCTGTACTGAGCAGCGATTTCACTGCAAAACTATTTGGACTTCAGGGTAAATCCGTAGGGGAAGAGTATCCTTGTCCTTTGAAATAAGCGGCACTCCCATTTCCCTCTGCTCCCTTGGACCCTCCAGGAACATGAGCCCTTGGAGGCCTGCATTAATTGGCTCTAGGGCAAGACTGCCTTCTCTGCGTGTGCCATGGAGGGAGGGAGCCCAAGCCATGTGTTCGCATGAATGGGGAGATGCTTTCAACAGTAGCCCCTCATTGGGGGATACTCAAGGGGAGAAAACTATCCATGTGACGGGTGCACAGTGCTCTCTAAGAAACCTGCAAGCATGAATGTAGCCTCACATGAGATGGGGAAACTCTCTGAAATTGTTCTCATGGGTGGTACACAGATCTGCAGGCAATTTCCTTACACGTGGCCGTTTGTCAGGTAGGTGAGGCCTGCCGAGCAGTGTACCTGGAAAAGACAGGACTTGCTGCCAGAGTTAGCCAGGTGCCTGCCAGGGGTAGAGGAGGCTGGGGCCAATTAAGGTTTGCAAAGCATTTCTCATGGATTGCCCATAAGAGATAGAATGGTTTTGGTGAGTACACATTGGAATTTTTTTTTAGTATCCTAGAAGCCCAGCTCCCTCACAGAGCCCAAGCCACCTGCTCCTGTGCCGCCACCCTCCATGTCAGTCCCGGGAAACACCCTCTGCCCAATGCCAGTGTAAGAACCACAGGCCTGGCTGGTTCCAGCCACACCACCGAAGGAGAGGAAGAGACCAGAAGGGTGCCTACCTAGTCCTGTGACCGGCCCAACTGCGACTACCTGGCCCCCATTGGCTCCATCCAGGCCAAGTCCTTGAGTCACGCTGCGTCTGCCATGTGTCCGCATGGCCCCTGGTGCCCATCTGTATCAAGTCTTTTATTTGGTGTGACTGTAATCAATGACAATAACCTTCTTAGCTCTCGTGTCCCTCCTACCCCCAGCAGTTGACCAAGCTCCACCAGTTGGCCATGCAGCAAACCCCCTTTCCTCCCCTCGGACAGACCAACCCCGCTTTCCCCGGTACGTACCCAGCCCCGACTGCCCTCCTTCTCTTCCTGCCTGGGGCTCGCTCTGCAGCTGTGCAGTCAGTTCAGTCCTGAGTGCCGTGTGGGGCCGGGTCCACCAGCGGGGGTGTGCCCATGACTGGGGGTGGGGCCTGTCTGTCTCCTGGTGGGATCAGGTGACCTTGGTCAGCTTTGGTGGGGTCCTTGCTTGTGAAGAGGCCATATCTCCTGCAGAGGGCCTGGTTAGCTCTGTTCTCCACTGCCCACCCCTGGCACCCTTGATGGTCCTTCCTTCGGGTGCCTTCACCTAGGAAGCCCAGTGCCTTCTGCAGGATGCCGGGAGAGACGGCCGCCAAGCGTATGGACCTGCCCTAGGGCAGAGAGTTTGCAGTTCCCAGCCGAGGCTGTGGTTAGGGAGCAGTCAGAGTAAAAGGCTGAGGCGCCCTCGCAGGGTGGCTGGTCACAATCATATTTTGAGCTTCCTTAGTTGAAGGGACCTTGCTTATCTCCTTGAGGGCAAAATATTAAATCTGTCTCTCTTTGCTCTCCAGGAGAAAAGCTGCCTTTACACTCCTCCGAAGAAGCTCAAAATCTGATGGGCCAGTCGTCAGGTAAAACAAAGCCACCCTCATTAGCCAGGGGAGGAGCAAAGCACTGGCAGGGGACCTGTCCTGGTGGGAGGGGCTGCTGTCACTGTGATGGGAATAGAGAGCGAATGCTCCCGAGAAGCAGTCCCCAATGGCCTACCTACCGGCCACACTGCTGCCAGAAGCCATGGTAGTGGGCCGTGCTCATGTTGACGGCAGCACTGGTGGCTGGCAGCAGCTTGTGGAGGGTAGCGTTCTAAGGATGCCCACCCTCCTCTTAGCACAGCTGCCTTGCTCATCACTCAGTACCGGCTGAGGCAGCATCACAGGGGGAAGGGGGGCTGTAGGTCAGGCTGCTGGCCACTTTAACTTTGTGGAACAGCACCCTGGGAGCCTTCCCTGAAGACAGGGTGGTTCTGGTATGCGAAACCCACCTGGGAGAACAGTCGCTGTGCTATGTCTACTATACCCCTGACTCCCCATGGGGTGTTTTCTCACCAAGCAGAGATAAGGAGGGAAATAGATAATCCTTTGTCTGGTAGTAAGCTGGTGGAGAGAGCATGGGGTCCCAGAGGGTCTTCTTGAGGTGGTCAGCTGCCACGTGCCTTCCAAATCCAGATGGGTCTGACAGACAGCACCTGCCTGTCCGCAGGGGACTGTGCTTGAGAGGGGTGTGTGCGCGGCCTCGGCTGTCAGCTTCCCCATTTCCGTGTTCTTGGGTTACCTCAGGGCTGAGGTCTCCCATCCCCTCCATGTGAGTGTCTTACCACCCTCCCTCGGCCCCTTCCTGAATGGGCATCTCGGGCGGTGCCTGGGGTAAGAGTGGATACTACAGGCTGAGGGCCCTGCCAGCAGTGGCTGAGACTCGGCTTTGGTGTTCCAGGGCCTCACAAAAGTTAATGACATTAACTTATTTAAGTTAATTCACTGCAAGTTTAATGATCGCAAATCACAGAAGCACACTTTTAGAATGTTTTCATTGTGGAATGGACACCAGCCATAGAATTTTATACATAGTTACTGACCATATGCATGCCTGTATGATCCTGCTGCTGGTAAAGTCTTCTGCCATTGACATGTGACTTCATGTAATTACCCAGTGGCCATGTCCTGAGCTGGTCCTCCAGATGCAGTCAGCCTGACATGCTGCCCTTCTCCCACACCGGACTGGCCAAGCACTGCTCCTTCCACACACATACCACCTCCACCCCCACAGCTGCCCTTCCCAACACACCCACCCTGCTGCCATCCAGAATGGTACTGGCATGCTGGATCTCAGGGACAGAGCATGCGATTGAGACCACAACCGCCATGGCCTCCTCTCCACTCCCTTCCCCACACCTATGGGATCTGCAGCCCTTGTCCACGTGGCTTGACATCAGTAGCAGGATAAACGATGGATGTGTTGGCATGGCAACCTCTGAGTGGTTGAGAGTCACACTGTGTTTCATAGGATTGATGTTGGGAAAGCATTGTTTATATTCTGGTGCATGGAATATTACTGTCTTCGCCATGGAGTCCCAAGAAAGTGAACACACACTTTGAGTACCTGGTACCTTCTCTGGAAGAGTCATGGTAGTAAGCTTCCTCCCTTGGTGAACATATACTCAGATCCACAGCTGCAACTCACTCCTGTGTGGTCAGGAGCAGCTGGCCAGGCACAGACAGTCCATGTATGGAATCTGTAGATAGGTGAATAACCAAATGACTGGTGCTTTGAAAATGCCAACGTTAAAAGAAAGGAAGAACCTGCTAGGTTTGGATAGGCAGACAACCGGAACAAGCCATTCCTTCCCCACATCCAAACTGAGCCCTATGCCCATGAGATGAGAGCTTGATCAGAGGCTGTAGCTGCCACACCGCCCCAAAGAGCGGGCTGCTGACAAGCAGGAAGAGAGCCTAGTTTAAGTGGGCACAGCCGGGAACGGAACAAGAAACCAAAGATAGGACGGGGGGCATGGCAGGCAGGAGTTTGTCAGGGAACACCACGGGGCTCAGCCAGATAGGTCATCAGAGGGGGTGGCGCCCCACAGGAGGCCGTATGGCTGCAGTGGAGGAACAGTTCCTGAGGAAGCAGGAGATGAGTGCAAGTTTCAAGTCGACTCATGATGTGCCCTGTTCCAGGCCCTCTGTGGGCCATGGGCATGAGACCCAGGAGGCAAGGTTGTGGGCAGGGGACCAGGGTGATGATAGAGGGTGTGGTGTAGCCTTATCTGTAGGACTCTTTTGAAGGAGCTGGCTGTGGGCAGGTGGAGAGAAAGCATGGCCAGAGTTCAGGGGATACCTAGGGTCTAGACACAGCTACAGGAACAGCAATACTAGAACACCCCCAAGGGGCCTCAGGGGCAAGACCAAGCTCCCGACTGTAGACTCAGTAGGCATGCAAGACCTCTGGGTGAGGACAGGGTAGAGCTGCCTGGAGGGGCAGACCTCACTTGTACCCTTGGTGACTGAGCCACCAACCCTGCCACACTTAAGCCAGGGCTGCATAGGGTCAGTTTATTATCACTGGTTCCCTGTCTGTCTAGATCTTGCGGTTTAATGCTGATGTGAATGAACTTGAGATTCCTGAGGGTGAAAATTCAGGGCCTTATGATGACTTTTTTTGCATAGGAAGGATGTCTGCACAAAATACGCAGTGTGTTGTGTTGTTCTGCCTGGCCATGTAATTTTTAATTAACAAAAGACGTCAAGATACTTGTTCCGAATGAAGGAGCAGCAGGGGACAGAGCCCATCCCATTTCTCCTAGCTACACCACATGCTACATGCCACGTGCTATAAGCAGAGGCCTGAAAAACACTGCAAGCATGTGGTATCATCCTGTGCCACCAGGGGACCATTTGCTGCAAAGCTCATGTAGTAGGCTGGGTGACGAGGGAGCCAGGGGCATCTCCTAACCGGTGGGGCAGTGGGTAGTGGATATGGGGCCCCATCTCTTTGTCTTAACCAACTAGTCTCTGCCATATCATTCAGCACAGCCTTTCCAAGGTGTTTATGAAATGTGTCAAGAAAGGGTATGAAAAGTGACATGTCCCAAATGGAGCCGTGAAGTGCTGTTCTACCTGGGCTTCTTTTTCTTCTTTTGAGGGAATTGGAGATTGGATCTGCAGTTCAGAACTGAGCGTTCAAGGGCCTCAGGGATGTGGGACCCTGTCCTCGGACAGCCTGCTGATTCCAGCCTCGCCTGGCCCAGCGGAGAGTGGGTGGTGGATGGGTGACTGTGAGTGGTACTCCTGCTACTCTAATCATGTCTCCTTGGTGTGTCCAGGTCTGGATGCCAGTCCCCCAGCCAGCACCCATGAGCTCACCATTCCCAATGATGTGAGTATGCCCCTGGACCACCGTGAACTGGAGCGAAGATGCCCAGCTCAGGGCTGGGGAGGAGTAGGGACCCACCATTGGTTACTTACCTCGGCCAAGTCCCACTGATGGATGGCTCTCTTCAGCTCAACTTTACTTTGCCTTTCTCCTTTCCTACTAGAAGTGGATTTATTACTTAGAGTAGGTGTGTGATTCACATCCCTAAGATATTCAACAAGAAAGCTGCTAAAGGCCATGAGGGCTTGGACTTCAATCCAGAGGTTTGGGGAAACCAGTGACCTCAGGTTTACACAGCCTGGCTAAAGACCACTCTAGAATACACACACACACACACACACACACAGCACCAGCCCATGTGTCTTGCTCCTTCTGGGGTTGAGGGTGAGATTTTCTGTGCGACTGCTCAGGGTAGACTCCATCAGTCCTGAGGTTGGCAGGACTCCCATAGAAAAGCTCTGCAGTTTATTCACTTCTCGGATATAACTGGAATTTGGCCTTATGAGCGCCCATCAATGTGCTCAGTCCTTTCCCAGCTGGGTGGGGAGGCAAACGTTGACCCAATGCATGAGTCCTGGGACTCTCTGAATCTGACTCATAATCTTGAACTAAGAATTGAGGAGGTTTCCTTGAGGGGCGACTGCCAATAAGCGTGGGGCTTCTGTGAGGGAAGTGGTCATGGTGTGCGCCACCTCTCCAATTCAAAGGTATATAGGCCTCTCCCACCACATAGTTGTGGGCTTTGGAACCCTTTGCTGCTTTGCAATGGACAGCTCAGCCCTAAAACCAACTGGGAAGGAAATCTTAGTCCTGCTTCTCTCCTTCGTGTGGACTAGCCTGCAGGATCCAGACTTGGAAATTCAGGAAAATGACCAGTCCTGAGCATAAAAGGAGGCAAAGAAGCAAGCTGTGGAGAGGAGGGCCAGCAAGGCTGCCAGTTACAGACAAGGAGAAACCCTTCTCATTCCCAGGATCAAGAGGAGCCCAAGGAGACTTCATGCCCAGTCACAGGCTGCGCTTCTAGACAGGCTAGCAAGGCTGCTCCAGGCCTCCGGCCCCAGCAACCCCCAGGCTCTAGTCTTCCTTGGCCCGCAGCAGCTGTCCAGAGCACTCTGACTGAGGGGCTTTGTTCATCCAGCCCCAGACTCCCAGAACTTTCTGAGATTGGGCCTACTTGGTGGGCAGCGTGAAGGCCAAACCCTCCTCTGTGCCCAGGGTGAGGGAGCCCACTTCTCTCTAACCTGTGGGTTCTGAGGAAGAAGGAGGCTGCTTTCAAAGACTTAAAACAGCTCTCTTGCCCTTTCTTTTTATTCTCTTTACTTCTTTCCCCTTTCACTTCTTCCTATCTTCCATTTCTTCCCCTCTCCTCCCTCCTACTCTTCCGTCCTATGCTCTCCCTCTTTCCTCTCCTCCTTTCCCTTCCCCCTCTCAGGAATACACATTCCTCATGTCACCGCATGCATCTTACTTCTGACACTTAGCCTGTCACATTATCTGTGTCCCTTTCCTTGGTCAGCATCAGATCATCTCAGAGAGTCCACACCGATGCCTACAACTCACCACACTTTACAGAAAGAAAGGAGCTTCTTGGTGGCAAAGAAATGTATGAATGAATTTAAACAGCATGGAATCCTGCCGAGGGTCCAGCCCACCCACCCTCTCAGCCCCCGGGAACATTGGCCAAGGCAGAGGCCCACGCAATGTCATTTCTTGTGTCCATTTCTGAGGCCCACTGCCTCTGACAAAGCCTCCTCCTGCTCACACCATCACGGGGGCTATTGTCACCTCATGCTCTGTCCCAACATCAAGCATCTGCTGCCTGAGGCTCTGGCACCTCTCCCTGGCCCCAGTCCACACAGCCACCCAGACCTGCGTGCTGGGAGCAACAGCCTCAGGGGCCAGGCAGCCAGCGCTAGGAACTGAGGCAAAGCAGGAGGTTGTTACTGGAAGTCCTGGGGCTTTGGCTTTGCAATCTCTGTTAAGAGGAGCTGTGTTCCTTCAGGGATGTCATTGCTGGTGGCAGATGGATTTGGGCTGAAAGTAGAGAGTATTAGAAAAAGGATCACCTGTGTTTTATTGACTATGCAAGGGTATTTTATTGTGTGGATCATAACAAATCATGAATAACTTGAAGAATGGAAATTCCAGCATACTTAATCGTGTTCATGTGAAACCTGTACATACATCAAGAGGCCATCATTCAGATAGAAGAAGGAGGTACTGTGTGATTTAGAATCAGAAGAGTGCTCAGCATAGTATCTTTTTGCCATACTTATTCAATCAGTATGCTGAGCAAATAATCCAAGAAGCTGGATGTGGTAGTTACATAATCGGTTGCCAATTTGAGGCTTAAGAGTGAAGGGATGGAGTTTAGCCTGTCAATCAGATCGCAGCTTGATGACCTCATTTGGAGGCGCTAAGGATGTAAACAGCTCATCGGAGACTGGACACAAGTTTACTCCATGGGAGACATTGCAGCTGACAAGACACATGGAAACAGGCTGATGGTAGCCAGAGCCTCAGAACTGGAGAAGCCACATGGAGACCCGGCCAGCGCTGAGATGCTTCTACTACCACTGGATCTACAAGATTTCCTGCCCACTGGTCTGTGATCTTCCTGCATTCGGTGTCATGTCATGTGTTTCATAAGTCTAAAGAAGACTTTATAGATTGGTATCGGACATATAGGCTAATACCAGACTTAAGGACTTGATCTGGACTGGGCGGGATGTTTTTTCAATATTCAATATAAAACTCTTTCTTATGCACAGATGAATGTCAATGAATTTGTTTCTCTAGTCCACCCAGACTAACATACTGGACTATATGAATACGACCTCAGCATCAAAATTCGAGACTCGTTAACTTTCCCGCAATAGCAGGTGACCACTTCACTTCTCAACAGTGAAGGTGACTTGAAGCATTTATTGATGAAGCCCAAAGACCCCAACCTTCAGGATAAATTACACCTTGACATAAAGAAAACAAAAATCCTCACAGTTGGTCACATATGATAAATAATAAATAATATGATAAATGGAGAACGTTTTGAATTGTCAAGAATGTCATTTACTTGAATCTACAATCAACATTCATTGAAACAGTAGTCAAGAAATCAAACAAGATATTTCATTGGGAAAATGTACTGCAAAAGATCCCTTTAAAATGTTAAAAAGCAAGGATGTCATTGTGAGAACTACAATGGTATTTTCAGTTGCCTCATAAGCTGGGGAAAGCTGGACAGTGATTGGATACCTCTGAAGAGTAGGCTGGCGGGAGTCCAGGCAGCGTGCACTGGGCCCGGACTATGGAGGCGGATGCCATTAGGATTCAAGGGAGAGGCTTGATAGGGCACTGGCTGGCTTGGCTCTGTAGTCACTGAGGAGAGGTAGAGGAGTGCAGATGGAAGCCCATGGTGAAGCCAGGAGGCCAGGCAGACATTGTCCATTGGAGTATGCTGCATGGGGTCCTGGGGTCCAAGGGACCTCCCCCACTTTCTACCTCTCCCATTGTTCCTCTAGCCTGCTGCTACCCCTATAAGCCTCATCAAAGAGAAACCCCCACCATAGGAAGTGCCCAGTCTTGTGTCTGTAGCGAGGATGCTGCCCCCTTAGCGGAACCTAGCTAAGCAGTTGGATGTGACCTTGTGTAGGATTAGCACATCACTGGCCAGGGGTTGTGGGTAGGGCCTGGGAACGTGTGGTGGTCCCTGGGGAAGTGTGGGAGGAAGTGGGAGAGAGGTCAGCAGAGTCATGGAGATGCTGGGGTCGACTGGAGACAACAGTATGTAGGAGCTGAGTATTTTTTCAGGGTCTTTACAAAGTTGAGGCTTCATGGTTGGCCTAATGGCCCAGTGAGGAGTGCTGGTAGTGCTGTGTGTTAGGTGGGCCAGCCATAAGGTCAGTAGTTCAAATTCATCAGCCACTCCATAAGAGAAAGACAGCTTAAAAATCTGATCACTTAAGATGTGAAGTGTCAGGAATCCCCTATAGGTCATTAGGAACTGGAATTGACTCAGTGGCAGTGGATTTGGGTTTGTTTGTATGTTGTCTTAGAAGTGGACACAACAGTTCACCTCGTGGACTAGCATTCATTCATGCTGCACCTGTGTTCAGGTTGAACCATTTCTTATCACTTAGGTCCAGCCATTTCACATTAAGAAGGGTTTTTTCCCCCCACGGAACTAGCATGTCCTATACTCAGAGCACCCTCAGCCCACCCCTAGAAGTCAGGTGGGTCATGCAGGTCCATGTGCCAGGTCAGTGTCCCTTTGGGGAAGCTCAGAGCAGGTGTGTGTGCAGGGTCCTGGCCTGTCCTCTCTGTGAGGGACTTGTACATGTAGTCTGCGCAGCATTCTCCTCTACGACATCCCTCCATCCTTTCTTCTAGCTAATAGGCTGCATAATTGGACGCCAAGGGACCAAAATCAATGAAATACGGCAGATGTCAGGAGCACAGATCAAAATCGCCAATGCCACCGAAGGGTCATCAGAGCGCCAAATCACCATCACGGGGAGCCCGGCCAACATCAGCCTTGCCCAGTATCTCATCAATGCCAGGTGAGCAGCTCGCTGGAGTTCCCTCTTCTAAGGGGCTTGCTTCAGGGTTGAGGAAGACCCTCTGAGGAGCCAACCAGGGAGCTTGGCTGGGCCAGCATGCTGCCTTCCCCTCAGAGTTAAAGTAGGCCGACCCTGGATTCCTCTGTCCTTTCCAGTAGCTTCTCTGTCTGGACACTGAGGACAGATTGTGACGTGCACAACCTGAACGTAGGCCGGGACCATGGTTCTCATCCTGCACTTGTAGATCTTGACCTCCGTACCTGCAGAGGCACAAACCAGGGGCCTGGGCAAAGATAGAAAGCAGCCTTGAGTTTCCCTATGACCGAGAGCCCATCTGCTCCGAGACAGGCCCTGACACTGGCTCCTCCAGGCTGTACCCAGCCCTTGTCCCTGCAGCCTGGTCTGGGACAGCTGCATGCTCAGTGCTCTCACCCTTTATGCTCCTAGAAGTGCGCTGTGTTGGGAATCACAGGCACAATCCCTTGGGCCTCTACTTCATTCCTGACACAAAAGAGAGATTTCAGGGTGGTGTGGGCAGTGTGGTGGCCCCTGCTCAGCTCAAAGGCATGCCCACTGGTACTGCTGCTGTGCCAGGGGGCCGGGACACCAGCACCTGACACTGCCAGCCTTAATTGGTACTTGACATAAAGAGGCCCACCTCCCACAGACAGGGCCGAGCCGGGCATTCCCCCCCAGATTTCCCAGTTACTACTGAGTACTCTCCCCCACTGTCACTGTGGGGGCAAATTGAAGCCTTTTATGCACACAGACTCAGGATGCCCATGTTTTAACAGTGACTGGCACCACGAGGCTGCAGGGCCGACCTACTGGTGGCAGGGGCTGAGGGTCAGTGCAACGTGGAGTCCTCAGTCAGCCACATCTCCGCTTGACTCCACCTTCACATAAAGCATCTGCGTTCTCTGATGGCGCTGCGGTCTTCTGTGGTCATAGACACTCCACCCAGACACGAGGTTTCCTGCACAGTGTGTCAGAGCCTGACCTGAGGCTTCAGGCCATCCTCTAACAAGGCTCTAACACAGCCTCCTCACCAGACCCCTCCAGTGGCCAGCACGGGTTTCCCCCAACAGTGGTGCCTCCCATGACACATGGCCACTAGCACACAGGGTCCCCTCTGGTGCTTCTCCTTCCTGTCCGGCCGCAGCGCTGTCTTACCATGGGCCTGTGTAGAGCGGTAGCTGCAGTGAGCAGGCAGTGGGCATGTGTCTGGGAGGGCGTGTCTGCCTGAAAGGCCCCCACCTCATCTTCGGCAGCACACTGTCACAGCGCTACTCACGCTCTGCCCTTTGTTCCAGGCTCACGTCCGAGGTCACTGGAATGGGCGCGCTCTAACCGCTACCTGCTGCCTCCCTCACCACCGCCCTCCCGAGCCACTGCTTCCACCTGCTCCTACGGCGTCCTGTCTGTCCACCGCAAATCCGTGATAGATAGTTTCTTTACTGACAGAAAAGATATATATATACACTGTACATATTCGCACTGCCCCACCCCCACCCCTACGTACACCATGCCTACTCGTGTATCTCTCTCTGTACCGGCCTGTGCTTCGGACTCCATCCTCGCCCTACGCTCCAGTATTAGTTTATGCTCTGTTTGTCCCTGCATTGGCATGCGGTGTTAATTCTTTTCAGTACTTGGGGAGTTCCCATGTGTGACATGTTAGAAGTATTGTTCCTTAGTGCAGTGTGCCCATTTTAGAGTTGGGTTGACATTTTGGCAGCACTTTCCGTGGGCTGTCATCTGCCCTGCCATCTAGAGCATGGTTGCCTTGAGATGCCTCCTCTCATGGACCCCTCCTCCCACGGGTCCCGCTCTGCTTACCTTGTTTCCGGGAAGCCTGCGCCCCTTTCAGGCCAGGTTTCCATCTCAGCTCATACGGGTCAGGGCCGGGCCCTCTGGTCCCACAGGAAGGAGACTGGGGAGGGCGTGGGACCTTCGCTTCACTAGGATGTCTCCAGCTGAGGAGGCCAGGGTGTCCCTGCCCAGGAAGGTCCAGGGTGCTGGACTGGCCAGGAAGCGCAGTGTCTGAGCTCAATAAATGTTGTCGCACCTGCCCAACCAGCTTCGGCTCATCTCTGTGCTCCCCACGTTCCCCACCCCAGTGCCCCCGAATCACCCCCGTGTGTGTGCACACCTGCGCGAATGCACACTGACACACTATGATGCACCCCGCTGCACAAGCCTTGAGGCCGCAGGGACAGACAGACTCGGCCTTCCCTCTGGGCCTCCAAGCCACCAAGTGAGAGGGTGGGGGGTCCATGTACATGAGCACATGAGAGAAAACCCTGAAAGGTCCGCCAGTGGGGAGGGGGCGAAGGTATGGTATTCAGTGGGCATTAGGACGGGTCACCCCAGGAGGTGAGGCAAGGCAGGACAGGGTACGAGGGTCAGTACAGAGGAGGAGCCAGAGCCCACGCTGGCCTGGGGTGTCCGCATTCATGGGGCAGCCAGGAGGCCAGGAGGGTCATGGTGGGGAAGTGGGCAAGGGGGCTCAGTGCTCCTGCCCCAGGGGAGTCTGGGCTCCCCAGTGTAGTGGGGCCTGGCCAGCACAGGACAGAGGCTGGCTATAACTGGGTATAAAGAGGAGGTGTCCGGGTGTCCAGTGAGCCTGAAGGATAGAGTTGCTATCCCTGAGCCAAGACGGTTGCAGGATTGCGGGCTCGGTAGGTGGGAGTTTGACATTGGACAGAGAGGCCCGAGATGTGCTGGCCAGGCTGTGCGGCTGTGTCTCTGCGAGCTTCAGCTCCCTGGCCATGTGAGCAAGGACTAGCCAGGCTATCGTACAGAGAGGGTGAGAGGCCAGGGCCAGTGGGAGCTGCAGGTGAGCCAGTGTCACAGGGCTGCCCACAGTTCAGGATTGGGTCCAAGGAGAAGGGGGAAATGTGGTGTCCACCAGGGGGGAGAACCTCACCATAGCTCTAGGTGTGCTCCCCTGAGATGCTGGTGCCTCCAGAGAGCAACCCAGGCAAGTGGTCACAGAGAAGCTGGTGGCATCCCAGTGGTGGTGGAGAGCAGAGTGCATCCCAGTGGGGACTTCAGGGGAGGGTTGCTTCCAGTGACAGGAGTTAGATGTCGGCATAATGGAAAGGACATGTGACATCCCTAGAAACTTCCCTCCCTCAGGGGGACAGGGCCTCAACTGTGGGCCCCTGTGGCCTCAGCTTCTGCACTGCAGTCATACATAACTGGTGACAGGCCCTGGGGTCCCCGATGACCCCTGCCTCCCAGTGGGCCCCTTTTGTGTTGTCCCGGTATAGGTGGGACTTGCACCCTACTTCTAGCCAGTAGAAGGGGGCAGGGTGACCATGACACTTCTGATAACCTCACTTCATACATGGCGTCATGTAATGGCCCACCAGCTCTCTTACCCTCTCCACCATGCAAGCTGTGGGGAGGACCACTAGCCTCCCCAGAAAGGAAGAGCTGAGGAGAAGGGAGCTCTGAGCCTCTGCGGAGGACAAGGTGCTGCAACAACAACCACCCTGTCGAGCCCTCAGCCCAGCAGCCACAGGCCCTTAGCCCTGCCAGCACCCGAGGGAGCTTGGGAGTGGGAATGTACCAGCTGATACATCAACTGCAGCCCGGAGAGCCTCTGGCACAGAAGAGCCCAGTACACAGGCAGGACGATGAGGTGATTGGCATGGAAGCTGCCCATCCCTCCATTGGTGGTCTCTGTGACACAGCCCAGAAAACCATTACAGTGACCTGTTGCTGGGACGGCTTCCTGATTTCATTGTATCTAAGTGCTCCAGCACTCAGTAGTGCTCCCTGGGTAAAGGGGGCTTCCACTAAAGGGCTGGCCTACTTCAAGAAAGGCTCTGAGTGGACCCTCACTGGCTGTATCTACCACCCTGCCCACCTCCATCAGCCCTGGCGCTGGCCACACCTTCCAGCCTGTGCCAATGCTATGGGCCCCCTTAAGGCATGTAAGAGCCCTTCTGTCAGGGCAGCGGCCTGTCCACACTCGGTGGATCTGACCTGATGCAGTGCAAGGACTCTCCTTAAGAAAAAGAATGCCAAGCTGTGAGCACAAGCCAAAGTATGAATATCGGTAAGTGTTTAGAATGAGAGTAAGACAAACAAGCTGAAACTCTTCACATATGCACAAAGCCCACAGACACCACACAATCTAAGAAAACGACCAAGTATTTTAAATAAACCATCCATCAAGTCCTCCTCACTTTCAGCAAACAAGCAAGCTTATGTCATCTACATGTTGCAGGTTATTAATAAGCCTTTCTCCAATCCTGATGCCTCATTCTTATTCATATAATCCAGCTTCTCTGATTTTTTGATCAGCATCCAGACTGAATATGTACGTTGAGAGGATGCAGCCTGGAGGTACCCCTGGCTGACTTTAGACCATACAGTATCCCCTTGTTCCGTTTGCACAGATGCCTCGATCCATGCACAAGCTCCTCATGATCACAATGGGATTTTCATTCTTCTCAGGGTTACCCATAGTTTGTTATACTTCACATAGACAAATGCTTGCCAGAGTCAATAAGCACAAGTAGACATCTTTCTGGTATTCTCGGCTTTCAGCCAAGATCCATCTAACATCAGCAGTAATATACCTTGTTCCATAGCCTCTTCTGAATCCAGCCTGAAACGGACAGCTACCTGCCAATGTGCAATTGCAACTATTGTTGAATGATCTTCAGTAAAATTTCACTTGCACATAATATTAACGCTATTTTCTTTAATTCAAGGATTCTGCTGGGTCACCTTTCTTTGGGTTGAGTATAAATCTGTACTCATCTCTTCCAGTCAGTTGGGCAAGGAGGTGTTTTCCAGATTTCCTGGCATGGACAAGGGAGTGCTGCCAGTGCTTCATCAGATTGTTGAAGCATTCCCCTTGGCCTTCCATCAGTCCCTGGAGCCTTGTTTTTGGCGAATGCTTTCAGTGCACTATGAACTTCTTCCTCTAGTTCCATGGATTCTTGATCAGATGCTACTGCTTGGAATGGTTGAATGCCGACGAGGTCTTTTTGGTATAATGAGTCTATTCTTTCCGTCTTCTTTGGATGCTTTCTGCAGCATTCAATACTTTGTCCAGAGAATCTGTCACTGTATCAGCTCCAAGCTTGAATTGTATTTTCTCGAGTTCTTCCGGGTTCAGATATACTGAATGTGCTTTTCCTCTTTGGTTTTCAAACCTCGATCTTTGCACATCTCATTATGTTATTTTACTTTGTTTCCCCAGTCTGTCCTTTGAAACTTTCTGTTCAGATCTTTGACTTCATTTCTTCCGTTTCCTTCATCTTTGTAAGATTAAGAGCGAGAGTCTCTCCTGACATCTACTTTGATCTTTTCTTGCTTTCTGCGTGTACAATGTTCCTGATATCACACACACACACACACACCCCAC